CCTCAGATTTCAGGCTTGTCTCGAATAACTCGAGACTGTAAGAAAATAAAACTGTACACATATTTAAGCCGCGGAGTACAGATGAAACCATGTATGACAATCAAAGCAGCGGGTACGACGATTTCCTCTCAGAGAAAGTAGCAAAAAAAAAGTATGCAAGGTATGTCGGAAATGTAGTGAAGCCTGTGAGAGCAACTCGCTGCCAAATCTGCTGGATTATGTCTCTTCAGGAGGTTTGAGGAGTATCGTGAAGTTTATTTAATGTTCCTATATGCTGGAGTAGCGTGGATGTTTACGTTCTGTTCAGTCAGCGCTTGTTCTGAAAACAGGCGACACACGAGGCTTCACGCTCGCATCAGCTGCTGAAAAACAAGTGCGTATTCAAGCATTATTTGGGCTCATCGGTGCATGGGACTTGTGAGTTCTGATAGAAAGCCATCTGACATTTTCTATTCTATTTTCTTCGACTCTCAGTTTCCGACATTGTTTAAATAAGAAGAAGTGTATTTCCTTTAAACCACAGCACACCTTTCTTTTCCCTTATTGACGTTTGTTTTCCTGGATACGAGACATTCAGCTTCGAATATCTTACCCGACCAACAGTCCAAACGCAGAACAACTACAATCATTTAAAACAGAGAAGAGCAGCTTCAAACTCGGAGGCTCCCAGAGAGGAAATCTGGGTGTAACTTCTTCTCCTTGAAACCTGCCAGTGTGTACAAAAGACGGTTATTATCCAAGATTACCACCATCATTATCTCTTGTGATCAGCACACCCGCTGAGTGGATCTAATTTCACTTCAGAGTCTGAAGCAGGCTGGCTGGGATTCCTGCTCACCGGATATAATGGAGTCAGTTAAAAACACACACACACACTGCATCTAACACACACACACACACACTGCATCTATCAGACCAGAGGAATTCACTGTGTGTGTTTGTGTTCAAGTTTCTGCACTCACCCCAGATACCACCTATGCTTGACGTAAACACCGTGTGTGTGTGTGTGTGTGAGCTATCAACACTTCCTGGTTATTCTCAGCCTCCCTCCACTTTTGCCTCCAACTCGGAGCTGTCAACACTGGGAGGTCAAAGGTCACCAAAGCCAAAAATGTTCTTCTGTCGGCTGGGTTTTTTCCCCGGCTCAGCGTTTCCTCACAGAGAGAAACGTGAAGTTACCGACGTTAACGTCTTGCAGAACACGTCCCGGTTTAAGGAGTGTAGACAGCGGTAATAACTCGCAGTATGAAGGATCCGGACGTGTGCAGCCCTCAGGTCACAAACACACTTCCTCTCTCTCTTTGACCTGCGGTGGATCAGCAGTGGGTTTGATCTGCTCAGATGAGGTCAAACTGGAATCAGGTCACCGGTCTGACTGAGTCAGCCATCAGAGCTTCACAGCGGTCTGGAGAGTCTGGTCACGGCGCTGCCTTGAAATGTATCTGACTAACTCGCTCTGAACGCCAAGTCGGATCCACGAGCTTCCAGACGAACCCGCCGGCAACGCAGTCAGGAAGTGATTCACAGCTACAGAGACACTTTACAGTGAGCGGCTAAAACGCTATAAAAACCTAAATGAAGCAATTAAAGAAGGTTAATGGGTTAAATATTGTGATGTTTGTAGAAAGGTGAAAAAGCAAGAAAGACATAGAAGTCTTTTGAAAACATATTTGATTTTTCATTGTGATGAAGCGTCGTCGTATGGAAACCCCAGGAAGAGCAGTTTCTACTTAACTAAAAAGGCTTCTAGGTAAATAAATGAATTCCCTGACCTGCTTTAATTCTGTTATCTTCTCCTTCTAAACCCCAGCACTGGCCTGGGTTGTGGTGCTACTCTCACTGTGCCGTGAGCAGCGGTGCCAGCTGCGTTCACTCCCAGTTCACGTCGGGCTGAGGGGAGAGCGCGCTCATGTCATGGCGACTCTTGGCTGAAGGCCTGGTAAAACAAAGCCTGGTTACAGCACTGAGGCGTGGCAAGGGGTGGCATTCCCCGTCTGAAAAACAAGCAGGTGTGCATGCCATTCCTTATACGGCAGCTCGAGGAGGAACGAGGTCGTCCAGCCGGGTTTCAGAAACCCGGGCCGGGCCCCGTTTGTGTTGTTGCACAAAGAGAAGGAGGCCGTCTTGTTGTCACGGCTCGTCGGGGCTGAAGGCAGAGGATCGGCAGGTTCAGCGGTTACATAAGACACTTTTCCTTCCTCCTCATGCATGTAACTACAAAAGCTGCATTATTTAGATATAAAGCACTGCAGCGGTGCAGCGCTGAGCGAGAATAGCGACGCTCGGGACCGGGAGGTTTCTGCGCCGTTGGAAGAGTGAGACTGGGGTTCGGTAGCATTTCTAACACAGTTGTGAATCCAGAATCGAGTCTGCTCACCAAAGCAGCTAAAGCCAGTACAGAGGAGTCAGCTCAGCTGAAGTAGGCCGGCCAGGGTTGGTTGAATTAGCTGAACACTTGAGTCAAAAGTCAACGACTACGTTTAAATGCAACAAATATTCAGTTTTTTTTTTGCCCTTACTCCTAAAAAAGACAATATTCTTAATAGTTTGTTTACATAATAGGAATAATAGTGGAATATTAGCGTGCATGTAAATACAGCCAATTACACGGGAGAGATTCACTCCTTTATTGGCTCAACAGTCACAACAACACAAACACAAAGAGTTCAAACAAGGTAGTGAGAGGTTGGTGTGGAGACACTTTGGCTTCAGTCCCACAACTGGACAAAGTGAAGGCTTCGGTTAACCACAGGGCTCTAAATAAACTGCTTTCCTCAGTGTACCGCAACGGTCCGTAATTCTACTTTAAACTGTCCCAAACGTAACAACCAACGTCTCAAATTGAAGTCCTTTTTTTTTTTTTTTTTTCTCATTCCACATAATAAATAGCTCTCCTATAAACCATTCATGAGAAACTTGCATCACTCAACCGACTCACTCAGGACCGCTATGGAAGTTACAACACACAATGATTTCCTCCTTCCTGTTTGCAGAATAAACAAACCATCCATACAAACACTACTGAAGCTTGGATGGCGTTATGATGCATTGTGCCTCCTGTATAAAACACGTGCGTGGCTGCAAGGGGGGGGGGGGGGGGGAGGACGCCTTTTGTTAAAAATTGCGCCCCATTTCCCCAAAAAATCC